ATGGCTCGGTGGCACTTTCGAAACTTGGACCAGTGCTGTTGGCATTGATCATCAAGTCGCCCCTGGAGAGGCTCACGAAAGACTCGCCCTGGTTGAGCGTCGCCACGCTGTTCTTCGACGTGCTTGCGAGGTTTACCTCTCAGACCGCAAGCTGACTGACGCCCATGGAGTGAAAGAAGCCCTGACTTATGTCATTCCGCAACAGAATGCCACTCCTTCAGTTGCTGGATTCACTCCGAGCCAATGGGTGTTGGGTTATCAACCTGAGTTGAGCCACCTTCTGGACTCCAACCTCAACGCTGCACAGCTGGCCGGAAACAACATCACGTTCGAGCAGAACTTGGAACGTCGCACCTCTGCACGTATGGCACTCACAAGTGCCGATGCTGACTCCAAACTTCGGAGAGCCTTGAGCAGGAAATACCAAGGTCAAAGCCGCATCTTCCGGCTTGGTGAACGTGTTTGGTTCTGGAGAGACGCCCGACAGAGCGCACTCAACAAGATTCGTTGGCTGGGACCCGCTCATGTGGTGCTACGTGAAGAAGACCCCGATGCACCTACTGAAGCCACCAAGGTCAACACCTACTGGCTTGCCTACAAGAGCCAACTCATCAGAGCAGCACCTCACCATGTCCGTGGCGACATCCTTGGACCACAGCACGTGCTGGACGACTTGCAAGCATCGCTCAACATGGTGCGTCAACTCAAGTCTCGTGGTGTCACTCGATACTACGACCTCCGGCGTGTCAACCGACAACAACTTGAAGATGTCGAAGAAGATGAGCAGTATGATGATCCTGACGGACCACTGCATGATGAATCTGAAGAACCACCTCGTCATCGACTTCGCCTGGAAGTTCCCGAGGCTCCAACAACCTCGGATCCTGTGGCAGAATTGGATGCCAACGAGTACGAGCCGACTTCACCGGCACACTCGAGCTTTGCACCAACAAGCCCAAGAGCACCTCCATCAACCATGGCAGGACCACCGGCAGCACAACCTCCACCTCCTTTGGAGATGCCTACATCACCAGTGACCACCAGGTCCAGATCCAGAGCCCCAACAGTGGCTGAACCCAGTGAAGAGCCGATGATTCCCTCCGGACGTGAAACACCACATCCACCAGCAGAGGCACCACCGCCCCCGGCTCCAAATCCAAGACCTGTCTTGGACCCCACCACTGCCTCCTTGTATGAGACGGTTGATGCAGAGACATTCAGCCAGCGTCGTGCCAGATTCAACCGACAAGAGACGCTTAGCTTTGGACCACTCCGAAGCCTACGGCCACCACCTGCACAACCATATGAACTACCTACACCATCGGCAGAAACAGTCAGCACGGAAGAGCCGCCCCCTGCAGCCAGTGCCGATCCCGACCTCTCAACGGCCGATCGAGCCCCTGAGCATGCATTGCTGAATCATGCCTTCCAGGTCACTGATTTGCAAGCCCACGGACTACCTCAAGGCTGGTCCTTCCATGATGGCTACTTCCACCTGGATAAACGGCCTCGAGATTACTGGGAAGTGAAAGCTGGCTGTCTCATTCGACATCATCTCGTGCCAAGGAGACACAAACTGTGCTTGCACGATCTGCCCAAGGACAGTCCCTACCACCACAACCAGCTCGATCAAGTCCGAGTCACCGTGATGTATGACAACAACGGCAAGAGCCATCAGATCACCGATGACGGCACTGATTCACATCCTATGGACCGCACCTGGACAGGACTCAGCATCTTCCAGATCAAGGGCGACATCCGACGTGAACTGGCCATGTATGCCAAAGCCCCACTACAAGGAGCACGTCAGATGGGCAAGACTGCCAAGATGCAGCACGCCAAAACCTTCAAGAAGGACAAGAACAAGAACAACCTCACAGAGCGTCACATGACGCCAGATGAACGTGCCCAGTTCAAGGCCGCTAAGGTCAAGGAATTGCAAAGCTTCTTCGACAACCAAGTGTGGCAGTTCGAGACCACCCATGAAGCAGAGCCCAGCCGGACTTTGACAAGTCGCATGCTGCTCAAATGGTCCAAGAATCCCGATGGAAGTCCAAGGGCGAAGGCCCGTTTGATCGTCAGAGGATTTCAAGATCCCGATGCCTGGGAGGGCACCGTTCCTACATCCTCTCCAACGACGACCCGGCTGTCGAGATCTATGTTGCTCAGCCTGGCTTCCACGATGAACTGGCCAATTTGGACCTCAGACATTGCCACGGCTTTCTTGCAAGGCAAACCGCAAAGCAGGAAACTATGGGTACAACTCCCAAACGAATGCCTGGAACTGCTTGGAGCATCCCCCGACACACGGATGCTACTCCTGAAGCCCTGCTATGGTCAGATAGATGCCCCAAGAGCTTGGTACCTGGCCGCCGTGGACAAGCTGAAGGGCATGGGGTTGAAACAACATCCACAAGATCCCTGCTGCTTCCTCATGTATGAAGGCGAGCTCAACCCTGAGTTTGACCCTGCTGCACCGGCACCGCACTTGTTGGGCCCGCATGGTCTTTGTGGCATGGTGATCATGCACGTGGACGACATGCTTGGTTGTGGCTCCACCACCTCGCAGTGCTACAATGACACCCTGGCCAAGCTCAAAAGCTCATTCACCTTCCGTGAATGGAAGACAGGTGATGATGGGAAGCCCCTGACCTACTGTGGCTGCGACATCTACCTCAATGAGGACGGAAGCTTCATGCTCAACCAAAAGAGCTATCTTGGCAAAGTGAAGCCAATCTCCTACGACCGGAAGCGCAACCTCACAGAGTCTTTGAACCAAAAGGAAATCACACAGCTGCGTGGTTTGCTAGGTTCCTTGCAATGGCCTGCAGTGCAATCTAGCCCACACCTACAGAGCAGTACATCCATTTTGAGTGGCTATGTCAACAAAGCATGTTTGCAAACTGTAGCCGATACCAATCGTCTGCTGCGTTTCGCTAAGGAGCATGCTGATGTTGGTTTGCACTATGCCCATTTGGGCCCTGTTGAGGAGCTTCGCATGGTGTGTTTTTTTGATGCTGCATTCGCCACCAGGAGTGATGGTTCATCACAAGCTGGCTATGTGATCATGTTGCTTCACAAAAGCCTGCTTGAAGCGAATGGCCCTGAAGGCGCCTACCACATCCTTGACTGGCGCAGCATGAAGACACCGAGGATTGCTCGGTCATCGCTTGGCGCGGAAGCTCAAAGTGGAGGACAGGCATGTGACGCCCTCGAACATGCCAGCATCTACTGGAGTTTGCTCATGGACCCTCGGCAGAGCTTGCAGCACGTCCTGAATGCCCCGTCGCTGTTGGCCCCAGTCATGGTCACGGACGCTAAGGCCTTGTTCGACTCCTACCACAGAGAAGGTGTTTCAAGTTCCGTGGTCGACAAGAGGGTCTCTCTGGAGATCAGGGTCATGAAAGACCGCCTCAGTGCTTTGGGCGGCAACCTACGGTGGATGTCCTCCGAACGACAGATTGCAGATGGTCTGACAAAAGAGGCTGCACGGCTTCTCCTGGCACAACGACTTCGTCATGGTCGACTCAAGCTGGTATGGGATCCCTCATACAAAGCCGCGAAGAAGAAATCGAAAGAAGAACTTCAGCAGAGCCGACTGGAAAGTGTACAGGAAAGCCCCAAGGTTCAGTTTGAGGACGAGAGCATCAGCCAGCCCGACAACCTGGACCCACACGAGCCCTTTGAGACTGAAGAAATTGAGCACAATGTTGATGAGCACCTGCTTGATGAAGACCAGGACCCAACGAATGAACAGGTCCTTGAGAATGTCATGTGTGCTCGCACCGATGACGCCATTGTGTATGTCAACCGTAGGTCCAGCCATGTCGTGCCTGGCCGCTTGACTAAGCCCTGTGCAGGCTTCATGAAGTACCTCCTCCAGCTCCTTTGCTTGGTTGTGATGGTTCCCCAGCTAGTTGTTGGCACCGACCTCACCACCGAAAAGAAAGAAGAAGTTGACTTTGTGGGAATGATTTTGTTCACCGGCTTCCTCATGGTCATGAGCTCAGCATTCCTGGCTGGTCGTTGGACCCGCCAACCTGGACGCCCTGTGGTGGCAGAAGCTGCAGTTCAAAAGGACGAGTTGGTGATTCACTCCCGCCTTCGTGAAGAGCTGGCGAAAGCAAAAGAAGAAGTGTCTCTATGGCGCAACCGCGCTGTGCAGTTCAAGTCCTCAGCTTCTGAAAGTCGAGCTGCTGCTGACATGGTGCTAGCGTACCAGTGCACAGCAGAGAACCTGCTGAGCGAGGCCAATGATCTCCTTCGCATGTGCATCAGGCAGATGGATGAGCACTCCAACGACTGCCCCTTTTACCAGAAGATCTGGATGTCAAGGCATGGTCATCGATGGCATGCCACTCCTGAGTGCACCTCTCTGGTTGGTCGAGAAGCATCGTCCTTTCGGATGATTGAGAGATGCCATCTGTGCAGCGTCCGCATGCTGCCACCGGATCTGACCGATCCGCGAGAAGGAGAGCCTGCGCGAGTGCTGGTGTTTCGCTGGCTAGATGCCTACGAGCAGAGACTTTTGGATGAATGAAGGCTAAAGCCTCTTTCTCCCGTGTGAAGTGTACGCTGTACACTTAGGTTCTTGAAGATGAACCTGTTTCATGTCACCCGCAACTCACCTCTCAAGCATGGGAGGGTTCATGCGCGCTGAAAAGGCGCGGCCGTGAGGATCGTCGATCCTCGTGCTTTCCTTTTTCTTCGACACGGACTTCGTTCGCCGTGCACGACAAGTTCACAGTTGCATATGTTTGAGAACTCCTTTTTTCTCTGAGACAAAACCTCAACTCATTCGTGAGAAAAGGCAACCACCCAAGTATTCTTTGGACCAAATCCACATCATCTATACCCCCCAAAAGGGGGGCCAAATAGCTGGCACATCGGTTATTCAACACCTTCGACCCTCGGTTCGATGTTTGACATTGATAGCTCCTTTAAGAGGTCATATATAAGGAGTGTCTATATATGAACCACCCCGAATGCGTGGGTCCTGGTTACGAGTACCGTGGGTCCTCACGTTCTTGGACACCTTCGTTCCCCAGGACGTCTCCGTCTCGCTCCTTCGTTCCGAGCTGCGGCCGCGCCCAGCGACGGCGGAAGTGTTGGGGTTCAGGGCCGGGAGGCGCCACCTGGCGGGGCCAGCGTGGTCGGTCGGGGGTTCGGTCGGAAGAGCAGAGCACGGTGAGGTGGACCGGAAGAGTTCTAGACCATACCAGGAGTTCCTATATTTGGGGAGAGAGAGCTTCTATGAGGTAGCCGATGGCCTTCGTTTCTATTTCTAAAAATTAAAGAAACGAATGCAAATTAGAATCCAGTTATAGACCATACCAGGAGTCACCATGTTAGGGGTGCCGAGAAGAGACCACTCACTGGAATGGGACGAGCCACACCACCGCGAGCTCTGTGACTCCTGGTACAGTTCATTACATTAATGTGTTACATCAAATGTTTATGGGCCTTTGATGTATACATAACTATTCCAGTCCCATGGATGGTCTGGGTTATGAAACCCAACTTTGGGGTGGTGGAGAATCTAAGGTGAATCTAAGAGGACTGGGGTGGCTTTGGGTTCTGGTCTAGAAATGAGCCCTGGCGAAACCTGTTGGAAATGGCTTTCTATTCCTACAGCCCTTTACATGGAGGCTTTTGACGGCAAATATCCAACCTGCATGGCCCTTCATAAAGGATCCAAGATATCCAAGTTCCAACCCCCCCCGAACACGTTGTCTTGTCTCGTCTCATCAACCTATATAGACTATCTCAATATACAATAGGTACCCCAGGTTCCGGGTCCCGGCTTTCAGGTCACTGAACCTCGTCTCTTCAACCAGCCGTTTTGGAGCGCTGGACGTGAACCCGTCTCCGTCGGTGCCGTCGCGCTTCGACTCGCATCGCACCTCGAGGGAATCGCACACGAAGCATCGACACAGGCGTTCGGCACCCATCGGCGTCGCACGCACCGTGGACGCCACCTGCAGGGTGGAGCGAGGGTGGAGCGAGCGATCTGGAGCGATCGCAGAAATGGGCTGAAGACCTGGGGGAAAACCTGCGGGATGGGCTGGCGTGCAGAAAGGTTCCCACACCCTCCAGATCTGTTTTCGCTTGGGGGAGATCTGAATCGGAAGCAGGAAGGTTGGAAGGTTGGATTGTTTCCTATCAGAATGCATTCAGAACTTATACACAATGGATGGGTGAATGCCACAATGAAGCCGCGCTCCGAAGCCGTTTCATCGAACAGATCTGAACTCTTGGACCATTACTCAGACTTAGACCATTCATCTCGGTTGGCTGGAAGCAAGGTTGGGGATAAACGTTGGATGGAATGAGTCAGGGTACAAATGGACGTATGAGGTGCAAGTTTTTTATCCCAACCAAGACCAGTGGGAGATTCTAATGGAGGTATGAGGTGGTTCTGTGCATAGCTTTAGTTGGAATACAAACTGCTGTGAGTTGCCGTGAGTTCCAGTGGTCCAGTGGGTCGAAGTTGGGACACTTCACAAGCTTCCGCAAGGAACGAAGCTTAAAATGGAGGACCCTGCCACGGAATGGCACAGATTCTTTGACGAGTCATAAACAGATGGTTCACAAAGAAAGGCTCCAACATACTTGGTACTTCTACAATCTTTACTTGCCTGATTCCCAGTTCCAAGGGTCTTTCGTTGGAATCCTAAATGCAGTTCAACAAGTATCCTTCCTCTTCACAAGCAGGTGAAGTGGCAAACGCCCTTGGACAGTCCCGCTTAAGGGGCCAGCATCAACCAACTGCAGGCGTCTTTTGATCGCAGGCATGCTAGCCTTAAGGGTCTGGTGAAATGAAATTTCATGCGTGCAATTCATGCAATAATACCTGCAAAATCCTGCAACATTCCCGCGATCCGCGATTGAACAGCTTCCGTCGCACCCCAAGATGCTGCGCCTGCCAGGCCGGCTTAGCACTAGGCAGCAGTTTCCGGTGTGCTGGCTTTTCGGCCTCGGCCATGGGGTGAGGAGTTGCAGTTTATTGGACTAAGTCCATCGATATTAGTAGCTAGAAGCTACTTGAAACAAGGGCATCGCTACTAATAACAAGGGCATTACTACTAGTAGCTAGAAGCTACTAGTAGATACCAAAAAAGGCGCTTTGGATCTTGCAAATCCTCCTGTCATCTCCCGTGTCAATGTTAAAATAAGGATGCATAGAGCATCATAGAAACATATAGAAACTCTGGAGGGAGGATTCAACTTTCAACTTGGCCAACACATTTTCCAGAATGGCGCCTATATGCGCCTATCTTACTTCCTCCCAAGGGTTGCTGCCAACTTCGCCAAGCCGGGGCACCGAGTTTCCGTTTTCAGCCCGGGGAGGCCAGGGAAATCCAAACATCACCGAACCTCGTGCATTCGCCCGCCCGGTGCTTTCGCCCTGCTGGTGCGGACCCCGTCTCCGGTCTGAAACGAGCCGACCAAAGTGACGGTCGACTCAGGTGACCCGGGTGACACACGGTGCAAAGCTGGGGTGCATGACTTGGAATGTCCGGAAAAGCGGTTTTAAGAGAGTGACAGTCAGTGACAAATCATGGTCAAGCTGCACCTCACCTCTTCCCTTCCTTGGACTTCACCTTTTGGCAGGAAAAAACGAAAAGGGCTCCGCAGCAGCGCTCTGCTGTTGAAAGTGAACCCTCCCTTCTCCTTTTCAAAACATCTCCCTAAGGTCCTAAGGGTCCAGGACCATCCTGAGCACGTCCTTTGGAGGTACCTGAACCCTATATATATGTTGGGCTTTCCCCCGGCACAGTAACAGTGACCACAAATCATTTTTTCATTTCCAGCCGTTACAGACAGTCAAGTCTATGGCGACACGTGCACAAGCGACACAAGGTCAAAAGCTCAATTAGCTGTTCACACGCAGGCTAGCTGAAAGCAAGCGCAACCCTCACCGGCGTCCGCCGTGCGGAGAGCAAAACACCGCCGCGCTTCCGGGATGTGCGCGTTCGTCAACGCTCTTTCGCGTTGATTTGCACGGCCCTTTACGATCGGACGGTGTGGCAGGCTGTTTTCAACCTTCTTGGCCTGCAGGATCAAATCATGCAGGATCAGAAACCCCTGCCCATCCACCGCCTGACCGAGGGCCCACAGCCATCGCGCCGTGTGTACAAGTGGGTCGGTCGACCCCCAAGTGAAGAACTGCGGCAACCAGACATGGAAAACCTGGCCCGCCAAGTCCTCACCAGCAAAGCAGCGACTCAATTGGTCTCGCCTCACGGCGATCAATGCCAGCCATCCAAGCAATCCCCGCCTCATCACCATCGACCTCCTCAAAGTTCCAATGACATTCGAACCAAGCATAACAACGGTTGATCTCTCCAGAACGAGGCATGTAAGTCAAGTGCTGCCGCGCTCTGCTCAGGGACCAAAAATGGGTCAGGCAAACAGGGCAAGTAGGCGATGTCACAAAATGGTGTACCTCAGAGCGCTGACCATGGGCAACAACTGCATGCATTCGAAGGCCTCTTGCTGAGGTAAATGATGAATCGCACATCTCGCAATGGTGCCTCCCATCTGACTCAGGAGGGTATCCAGCTCCAAGCTCCCGCACAGAGTTGGCCTGGATCTTCCAAAGGAGGACATACTTGACCGTGGCATTCTTGACAAGCGTCTTCCATCCTGGCTTTCCTTCTTTCCACGCCTCCGGAAGTCCTCAAAGGAGTTTCCCCAGGCTGAGGTGTCCACCGTGGCCCTGAACCATGCCAGATCTGCACGCAAACCCCGACACCATTCGTTCTCCTGGGAGATCTTCTCGTTGTGCAAAAACGCACCCAAGAAAGAAGGTCCATGCTGGAAGAGGCGGGCTGCATAAAGTAGCCGCAGGCCACCAAGGCGGATCCGAGTAGTGGGCACCTCGAGGAAATTACGCACTTGGTCATCAGTCCACACCTGCCTCCTCCGAGCATTGGCGACCTGATCAATCAAAGTGCGATACATCTGGATGCAGACATGTTCAAGCCGCCGTAGCTGACGAGGCCCCAAAGGATCCCAGGCCCCTGCCGCAAAGAAGTGCCTAGAAAAAATCAAGGAATCAAGAAGCTGCAGCCGTGTCTTCAGTTGCAGCCCTGGGTCCAAGAAGATGTTCTTCTTTAGAGCGGCAAAAGTTCTCCATGCTTCAGCAATCCGGACCCTCAAATCATGCTCGAGACTTCCAGCCATGCCCGCAAAGGTACCGAGATGCTTGTAGACCCCGTTGATCTGAAGGTGCCGTCCATCCTCAAGAACTAGTCTGGGCCGCGCCTGGATGTCTTGCCGATGCGCTCGAGCTCCCTGCCCGACGAAAGTGGGCACGACCTCAGTCTTCCCTTTGGAAAGGTTTAGGCTAAAGCCAAAACTGGCAAATCCCTCCTCAACCAAGTGGAACGTCTTCTGAATCTCAGTCAAGAGGGTTTCATTGCTTTCAGCTAAAATAGGGATTGCCAAATCATCCGCCCAAGCAATCAACTGATCCTCGCAGTGCAATCGATCGAAAAGAAGACTGCGTGTCGGGCCAACGCAATGGAAAAGTCGCGCGCCCGCGCATCGTGCGGGAAGGGGGACGGGGCGTCGTGACCTGATCGCGGGTCGAGTTCGCGAAAGTCGTGTTCACTAGGTTTCAAGAGTTTTTCATTTGTTGGATTGTTGAAGTGAAACTTCATATGGTAGCGGAGCAGGTTCTTCAACTCCCCCATCCCCTCAATCAACCCGGCCACCTGGGTTGTCAACTTTTGAACATCTGATGACAGTTGCCCCAGGTCATTTTCCAAGGTCGACAACCTCGATGCTGAATCAATGTCCACCTCCCCTTCAGAGCCACCCTTCCTAAGAGCCTCAGAAGTGAGAGTCTCCAAGACCCGGCGTGATTGTTCATAGGAGTAGGGCCTCCAGGGGCTGTACTGCACCTGCTTCGCGCCTTTCTGGGCAGCCACTGTGTCCTCCATCACGAGGTTCAGAACCTCGCTGCGGAGGGTTGCAAGCTTGGGTGTGACAGCAGACAGCCGAGACAGCAGAGAGAACTCAGCCAACTCATCAATGGACCTCTCGCTCACCTCGCGAATGAAGTCAGTCTCGATGGAGGCTTCTCTCAGTCTCCTCTCGAAACGTGGCTGAGATTGATGCGTGCCTCTTCCAGCGCTTCGCGCTGAGCTGTCTGGAATTGGTCCTCGTACCCGCTGTAGCGTCGGCTGGCTCCGCCCCCGATCTCACCGTACACAACTGGGCGACGTTTCGGCAATGTCCTGGTCCTGTGTGACATGTGACGATGCTGGAGCAGCACATGTGGTGGGTCATCATCGGTGATAAAGCACACATGGGCAGTCTTCACAAGTCCTGATACACTCGAGACCTGCAGCGTAGCCATGAAGTCAGATAGTGTCACACCGGCTGTGCCATCCACACGACAGCATATTCCTTTGAATGCACTGAGCTCATCGGGAGTGTCGTCAAAGTAGCACGTGTCATTGTCACCGACACACAGCAGCCTTTGCAGATTCTTCAGATGGGCCGTGGCTTTCTCGCCAGACCCCCCGCGTATGAAGAACTCATGTGTGGTGTCCTTCAGGGTTCTATCTACTGAACGTGGAAGGGGAATCACGACAAGTACCCGGTTGATGATGCTGAGCCACGAGTGGTGCGTGACAATGCCCCAGACTCGGAACGACTCGAAGATGCGAGACACAATCGTTGGGAAATCACGGGCGATGTGCAGGTAATTGGTGCCATCTGTCACTGCGTGATGTTCAGCGCACCAGTACAGGCCGTTCTTAAGCGCACAAATGGTGCCTGACACCGGGATGACACCGTCCCAGTCAAATGCAAAAAGCTTCGGCCATGGGCCATAGGCTCATGCTAGGCACTGATAATATATACATACGTTATGTAATATACGCATGTCTATTTATTATATATACATATTGAATATATATATATATAGTTATATATA